CCTTGTTTCTCATGATTTCTGCTGACTACCCTGGGAGGGAAGACTGCCTCTTGGGGGAAACAATGTTGGGGCTCAACATGACAGATCACAGTAACATGATGTCAGGATGAACCCAGACCCTGCGTTAATTGTTTCTTTGTTGCTGTGATAAAACACCATGACCAAAGGCACCTCATGAAAAAAAGAATATATTTGGACTTACTGGTTCCAGAAGCAGAGTCCATCATGGCCAGGGTTTAGGGTTAGGTGAGCAGGCAGCAGGCAGCAAAAGTGAGAAACTCAGAGATCACATCTCCAACTGAAAACATGAAGCAGAGAGAACAAACTGGAAGTGGGGTGAGGCTACAAATACTCAAGTTCCACCTGAAGAAACGCACTTCCTCTGGCAATACTCCATCTGCCAAAGGTTTCACAGCCTCCCCAAACAGCTCCACCACCTGGAGCCACATGTTCAAGTACAGGAGCCTGTGCAGATACATCCCTCCTCACAACCACCGCAGGCCCCTAGCAGGATGAAGAAGACAGCTGTGACTTACCTGAGACTGTGTCACTTCTTATGCCTTGGGAAGTGACTGGTTTGTGATCCCATGCCCCATCTCCTCCCTCCTGTTTCTTTCCATCTACATATTTCCTCCATTGTTAAGCCTAGCCCGTGTAAGTATAATATGCTGGTTTTGTTGGTACTCATTTATTCTTTGTTTTCTTTTCTTGTCCTGCCTGAGAAAAATGACCCGAGGCAACATGTATGATAGAAGCAATATGAAAGTGGGAAGTGGATCCCTTATAGTATGGAGAAGAGAAGGGAGAAAACCTTTGAAGTAAGGATGGTTCAGAATCCAATGGGCCCAATGGCACTAGGTTTGTCCTTTTTGTGTCTACTATGTACTGGATGTACTTGATCTTTGCCCTTTCCCCACTTTGCTCAGAGTTGCCTTGGTGACTCTCTCTCTCTCCCTCTTCCCCCCCCTCTCTCTCGTGTGTATGTGTGTGTGTGTGTGTGTGTGTGTGTGTGTGTGTGTATGTGACAGCAATTGAAATGGAAAGACAAAGTGTACTGCTTAAATGTTTCCTTGGCACATAGTTAAATTACCTATTGGATAAGACCCTGGCTCCTCTGTGTAATCTTACTGGGTTCAAGTACACAGTGTCAGTCTGAACATCGACTGGGAAGAGGCAGCAAGAGGTGTGTATGCTTCCAGAGAATCAAGTCAATGTGTGTAGAAAAGAAGCCCAGTCCTGGTTGTGCTGTGGAAGGGCAGGGAGAGGGTGCTGCCCCTCCCAGTGATGAAACCAGCCAGGAGGTGTGGCTAAGCACTCAGCAGGAACCCCTGTGGATGGCTGGTCACTGTCTATTGCCCATGGCCTAAGGGCAGCTATGCCATTTTTTGCTGTCACCTGGTCTCCCCGGCCCTGCACCCTGTGTGCTTGCCAAGCTGTTTCATTGCCCATGGAGGAAGGGACACTACAAAGTTGTTCTTTTAAAGGTGCTCTAGGTATCTGCTGTCTTCTTCCCTCATCTGCCCCAGCTCTTGAACTTGGTTATTATGGTTATAAAAATCAAATTTTCAAGCTGAGTGGTGGTCGTGAATACCTTCAATCCCAACACTCCTGGGAGGTAGAGGCAGGTGGATCTTCCCGAGTTCAAGGCCAGTCCGATCTACAGAACAAGTTCCAGGGAAGTTAGAGCTATACAGGGAAACCCTGTCTCAAAAAAAAAAAAAAAAAAAAAAAAAAAAAAATCAATCAATCAATCAATCAATCAATCATCAAATTTTTTATCCATGGTGAGAAATATATGACCAGGCCCTTCTCCTTGAGACTGGTAAATCTGGGAAGACTGGAAAGTCTCAGACTAAGGTCTCTTGGACACAAGTATGGGATGTCACTCGGTCTATTGTTTGTCCTGTCTGTGCTGTCTTACACAGAGGTGCTGTTCTGGGAGCCATGATCCTCCAAGGGCCCCTCTTCCTCTGACTTTCTTGGGGCAGTGGCCTGGGAGTATTTTTCCTGTCCTATTTCTCCAGTTCTGTTCTTGCTGAACCTACACCAGTGCTGTGATTTGCCTCTGGGTTACATGTGAACACTGTGTGTACACAGCCTACTTTGACACTGGCCCCTGCGTTATGGCCACTTACTCTTGACTGAATGCCATCACAGTTCGTGGTAATTCTCTGATGCTCTGCAAAGCACACCTCTCAGATTTATTCACCCATTCCTCTATCATAAGATTTTGGGACTATTTATTTTGTATTTATTCTCAACTGTTTCTATATTTTCAGGACAAATGCTGGGAAGCAGCAGATTTATTTATGTATTTATTTTAAATTTCTAAGATTCTGAACATTATTTAAATTGCTTTAAATAATGACCTTACTTCTAGGGTTGCTCCTAGGCTGGCTGACCTGAGACACTGACAACTGCCCCTTCATTAGCTTTATTTGATCCAAAAGATGGGATTTAACAGAACCCCAAAGACAGGTCTGAGGCAGAAATGACGGCACCAGGGTAGAGTTGCCACTTACCTGCTGGAACCGAGAGAGCTGAACAGTGGCTCCAAGCACCTTCTTGCTGCTGCCAGCTCTCCAAGAAACAGTCTGCTAGAACTGGGTTTGAGGAGCTCACTTGACCCCAAGTGTTCAGCAGTAGAAGGTACCACTGGGAGTGAGGTTCCAGTTTAACCAACATTTCAGGGGCTGCTTCCTTAGCCTCTATGTATTAGGGGGACTGTGCATGCTAAAGGAGGATATTGCTGGGCTAAAGGAGGATATTGCTGGATTTTAAACTTTTACTAATAGGATGATCTGTTGTATTTGAGAGGCCATAGGTGACTTTGCCGCTCAGTTCCCTGCTCACAGCCTGGTGATGTTACATGCTCTGCTATGTACAAGAACAAAGCACCCCATTAAAATGAATCGGCCACAAGGTTGCAATCACAAAAGCCAATGTGGGACATTTTGTGAAGTAACCACATCGATCGTCCTTCTGGGAAGCACAGTGAGCAGGATGCATGAGGACTCATATTCATCCACAAATGCCCCAAGTTCCAGCCCAACCCCACAGTGCTATGCCAAAGGCAAGGGACCAGGGACATGGTTTCTAGGAGCCCAGATGGCACTCCAGGCTCCAGTGAAGACTCGGACCCAATAGAGATCCTTCGTGCTACAAACGTGGCAACACCTTTTTATTCAGAGTAAGATGTGTTCACATCAGCATGACAAAGTTTGTACAAAGTTCACAATTTAAAAATGAAGTATCACAGCAACTTGTGATTCCACACATTTATAGCAAAATTAAAGTGTCAACAAACCCATGCCGTGTAGTACAAAAATAAATCAAACTTCAGTTCCACAGAGAGCACAATAAATAGTTTATACAAAATTCTGTCTTAATAAATGATTACTTAAATTAACTTAGAAATGAATATGAACAATAAGTTATAATAAATATGCTCTGATGACTCACAATAACCCCATGTGGAAGGTCAGCATTCTAACATGTGACACTGTGTGATCCCTATATATAGTCACAGATAACTTTTGATTTGATATTATGTACCAACGTTACATGAGCAGCAGGTTTGTGCTTAGAACCCCTCTCCATTGTACATAGGTGATAACAATAAGAATCCAAACTGATACTACCTATTACTCTACTAAAAGCATTACTACATTGGCCAGGAAGCTGCAGACAAGACGCAGTGGGGAAATGCATGTGCCGCCGCTATGAACAGAGCCCCCCCTTCCCCCTCTAGGGTGGGGGCCTGGGACCATGTGTATGGCGTCAGGTGACAGTAAGCACCTTGCTTCAGCTCTCAAAAAGGCAATTAATTCTGAGCATGGCAGCTACAACTAATCGCACAACAGAAAGGGGGCGTCGGACAGAGAAGGTCCTGCAGTGCCCCAAGTAATTACATAATCTTTTCCCCAGCTAGGTATTAAAGTCCTTGTGGAAAACTGTAAGCTTTTGTACAGTGAACAGTATAAAGTGCAGCTGGGATATTCTTATATTTATACATATACATACATATATATATATACCGAGGTTGAGTATTGTATCAGAATATTTGTTGTGAGATCCCTGTAGTCTCCCTTAGTAACCGTATTGGGTCAGCCTTGAGGGCCTCCTCTATAACTCATCCACTTCAGTGTCACAAGGCGACTGACACAGGATTGCACACCTCCGTACGGATATATAGGACAAGGCGAGTGCAAAGAGCCGACTGGCACATTGTGGGGACAATGACCCTGTAAGTCCTGTTCTGCTAAAAATATTTTTTTTTATTTTTACAAAACCCATCTTTTTTTTTATTTCATAACAAAATTTTAAAGTACTTTTGTACTTCCTGCATAACATCAAGACATGGAAGAGAGAGATGCTACTAAAAGGAAATCAAGTCGACATTGGGGAACACAACACATCGTCAAAGACTACTCAGAAGGGGGCGCAGCAATCAAAAGTGGCCGTATGCATACATATAGTGCAGTCATTTGGGATGAAACCATCAAATTTCAAAGGTATCAACAAGTCTAAGATGATCTAGTTTAAAGCAAAAAAGTGCTGAAGTATATTTAGTAACTTTAAAATCTGATTGCATTCCTTTTCAGGTTACATCACCATAAACCAAACAAGGCTGTGCAGACGCTAGAGTCAGCTGGACCCAGCGAGGGCAGAACGTGAACATCCTTGGCCTTGGTGTCCAGAGTGTTCTGAATAGGACCAAGGCTTATTCAAAGTCAGAGTTGGGGCAGGTAGGGGGAGGGAAGGGTAGAGCTGCTTTCCCACCCTCCCAGCAGAGAATCCCATCCAGTAACTGGGGCAATCACGGCCGTTAGCCTTCATCCTCAGATGTGAAACAAGAATAACAAATGATGATGATTTTTGAGAGTGAAAAGGGGAGATAAATGCTTAAATTACCTTTGTTTTGTTCCTCAAATTGAAAGACAATCAACTTCTGCTAGGTAAGCTATATTGTGGTAACAGTTCAGAGGGGCATAGGGCTCTAGGAGAAATAAGAGAAGGGTGCTCCAAAGGTTACTGAAAATGCAAAGGAAATCTTCATGTTGTCCACCTCTGACAAGCTCCTGTGTTAACGGAGTTTCCACAGTCCCACCATGTAATGTCTAGGAGTTAATTAAAAGTGCTGTTTAAGCTGCTTTGAATCTTCTGCCAAGTTTCCATGGCTTGATGTTGTCTTACAATAAATTACTTATTTCATTTCTTATAGTTAATCCATATGCCATTTCCTTGGAATGCAAAAAACCTCATTTATTGCCCCCACCATACACCATCCTCCTAAAACAAACAAACAAAAAAGTCACATAATATTTCCAAGCATTGTTCAAAAATAAAGCATTTTTTTGCAACCAATTCTTGCTATGAAACAATATGCACACAAAATGTATTTCTTAAATTCCACAAAGTCCTCCAACCTGAGGCAAAACGATAGTGTCTAAAAGTGGCCATGAGGCCACAAAGTGATCATTCAAACCTGCTTTTTTTTTTTCCTTTTTCTTTTTTCCTTTTTGTCCATTTCAGTTCAAAATACTAAAACATTTAATCACTAAAGCATTAAAAAGAATTTACACTCTGTTTTGATCAGCTTACCTCTTCAGAAATATAGAGACCCCCAAATGTGCAGACAGCAGCAGCTATAAACATTACATGGCAAATCACACTATGTCAGCTTATATGAAAACGTACAAAATGTGAATGTATCCAAAACTAGTCTGCAGGTACTATCTCGAGAGCACACAAAACCGTTATGAAGTCTTGTAGCATAACACTGTTCCAACAGAAATAAATATATAACACTTTCTGGTAAGTTACAGCAGCAAGAAACAAGAGGCATCCTTTTTAAGCATGAGTCAGTACTAGAGCAGCTGTTCAGACCTGAATTCCTCTCACAGCCTGCTTTATATTTTCCAGTAGGGCTTTATTTTCTGGACTCTGATAACGATCTTGATTTGTATACATTTCCGTCAAAGTAGTCACGTAAGCATCAAAATTTTGTTCATTGATTGGATCCTACGAGATATTAAATAGTAGGTTCATATACAAATTTTATTTTCTGAATAGTATATTCACAAAAGCATAAAACAGCATCATAGCATAGAGCCACTGTTTCCATAATATTTAACAGGCCTACTCAGAGCACACTTAATGTTATACGATCAGCCCCACCAATGTTTCTAGCGGTTAACAGTATGGTTTCAGGGTGGTGACCAAAAAAACAACCAAAAGCTGAAGGACCATGGACAATGAAACAGACATCTACTCAGTGAGGTGGACTGTGGAGGCTCCGAGGTGCTCACCTGGGCTCAGTCACTTACCATGTGAGGCAGCTGGATGTTGGCGAGGCTGTGGATCAGGGACTGGCTCAGGTTGGCCAGCTCATGCAGGAGCGACTCGTTCTGCTGCTCGATGACTTTGTTCTCCTCTTCAATCGTCTTTAGGTTGCTCTCCATTGTGGTGATCTGAAATCACACATTTGGATGACATGTAACATAAGGCAGGCTGCAGAGAGTGTGCATGCTGGCTGTGAGGGACCAGGGTATAGGAGGACAGAAGCTTTCTGCTCAAGCACAGAGGCTGCATCTAGGGAACCTGGACTTGTGTCTTCAATTCTTGAACACAAAGTGCTGGTCACAGCAACCATGGAGGTGTCCTCACTGTCAACTTGCTCTCCCATCACTGATTGTTCTCACTGGGTCTTGCCTGCCCATCTGTCTCCGCTATCTTGTGGGAACTGCGTGAATCTATAGGATTGATGCTAATTTCCTTTTGTGGTATTACTGTCTGCTCTGATGGGTGCTCTGTGTCTATGTGGGTGGCTAGTGTGTGTATGCAGGTGGAGGTCTCTTGGTTTGGCCTCCTTCTTATAAGACAATGGTTCTCAACCTTCCTAATACCTTTAATACAATTCTTCATGTTGTGGTGACCCAAACAAAAATTTCATGCCTATTTCATAACTGTAATTTTGCTACTGTTATGAACCATAATGTAAATATCTGTGTCTTTCAATGATCTTAGGTGACCCCCAAAGGGGATGTGACCCACAGGTTGAGAATCACCATTTTAAGAGTTCTAAGAGAAATGGAGACTTGCCAAGGTCAAGGATTTGAGTGGTAGCATCAAGGGGGAATCCTCCTCCACCTCACATGGATGGGAAACTAAGATGTGCCATGCTCAGGGTTTGCCATGTGTTCCCCTACACCGAGGTCCTCCCTCATGAGTGTCTCTATCCCTCTTTCCCTTAGTTTTTCCTTTTTCCACTTTCTTGTCATCCTTTAACTGCACTTGGCTTAAGTTCTAGGCTCTCACCTATAGCCAGGGCCTACGAAATTCTGAGATACTCAGCATTATGTGAGAGACAGAGCAGCAGTGTTTATTAGCAGGACTTCTCCATGGAAGAAACACCTTCTCTTTCTCCTATGGAGTGGTGGGGGGACCCTTGAAGCCATATGCTTTTCTCCCCTGACACCCTGGTCAACTTTCTGGCATTTTTTCTGTCCATCTGTGGTGGTTTGAATAAGAATGCCCCCCTATCCACAGTAGGCTCATATATTTGAAAGCTTAATCCCCAGGGACTTGACAGGGATTAGGAGGTTTGGTCTTGTTGGAGTAGGTGTGGCCTTGTTGGAGGAAGTGTATCACTGAGAGTGAGCTTTGGGGTTTCAAAAACCTATACTAGGCCCAGCCCCTCCTTCCCCACCCCCTCTGCCTGTGTATCAGGATGTAGCTCTCAACTACTTCTCCAGCACGATGCCTGCCATATCTGATGCCGCTCCCCATCATGATGACAATGAACTTAAATCTCTAAAATTGTACACAAGCATCCAATTAAATGCTTTCCTTTAAAAGAGTTGCTGTGGTTATGGTGTCTCTTCATAGCAATAGAACAATTACTAAGACACCATTGCAGAGATACCTCCCAGGCCCAGAAATGGATGGATGAGCAGTCACTAGGAAGGAGGCGCTAGGGGCAGCTATCTTTGGGGCTATGGCTGAAAATGTGTTCTTCTAGACAGCTTGATTCTTTAGAGCCAGTGTTGGCTGGTGGGTTAGCACAGAGGACATCAATTTGTGCAGGGTCCTTTTGGGTGACTGCCTAGGCAGCCAGATATAGCTGTCATTTCTAGAGTTTTGGAAGTTGCTCATGATGCACTTCCCATTTACTTAGGCAATATTATATCCTCCTGGGGTCTTTGATGGAGTTGAAGACAGATAGTTTTCCTTAGTTATGATAAAAGATAAGCTAAATAAAAAAACTTTAAACTCACAAAGATAGGATAGATGATTGGAGTATTTCCTTTAATTTTGCCAAATACAAATAGACTAAATATTGTAACTGTAATTCTTGCTTATAACTGTTTGGGTATATATAATTTTATTACATTAAAGCTAAAACCTTCCTTTCTAATATATGGAAAAGGGAAGATGATGTGGGAGGTCCTTCTGTATGTTGTGCTCCTTTTATTTGTTGATGAATATAGATGTTTTGGCCAATGGCCAAGCAGAATATAGCTAGCAGGAAATTCAAAAAGAGTTATGGAGAGAAAGAAGGCAGGGTCAGGGAGACACCATCCATTCACCCAAGGAACAACATGTATGCAGACTGGTAAAAGCCATGACCCACATGTCAATACATAGATTAATAAAAAATGGGTTAATTTAAGTTGTAAGAGTAACGAGTAAGAAGCCTTGCCATGTAGCTGAGGACAACCTTGAACTTCTGATTTTCTTGCTTTCTGCTTCCAAGTGCTGCTACTATAATCAGATGTAGCTATACCCAGTTAATGTGGTGCTAGGTCTGGAATCCAAGACTTCCTGTGTTCTAGACAACTGGGATCAAAATACATTTCAAAGAGGTGGCAGGATGACCGGGGGGGGGGGGAGGAAGAGTGGGGACAGTAATCCTGGTAGCTCCTTGAATGAGTACCATCTTTTCTGTCAGCTTTAACTATTGGTCACATAGGTCCCCAGGATCCAACCCTTCCCATTTGTGAAGGGCCTTGTACCCTCCATGATCCTCCACCTCAGGAAACCTCTGCAGGGCTCTCACCCCACTTCTCTGTGTGTTAGCTTTCTGTTTGCTGTACCAATCAGCCTGAGTTCATGGGAATGAATGGTCAGAGCAACCTGAGTGGGTCAATTCTCAGGCTATGCGTTGATATATCCACCAGCATTCGTAGGGCTATTTCAGATAATTTCCCCTGTAACGCGCATTTCCCACTTATGTGTCTGAAGGAAGGCAAAGTGTAGACACCACACCATTTCCTAGAGCACCCCCACGAGAGGATAGAGACTTGAGCTGCATTGTTCTCAACATAAACAAATGTCATGTGTAGATGCCACCAAGCCATGGAGGAAACTTTGGAGACTGTGGGAATGACTAGTACAAGTCCCAATCAGAAAGGGAATTCAGGCTATAACTGTGGACTGTAAATTTCAAAAAAATTTCAATCTATATGAGTAGACTAACCCTGCCAGTCCCGGGTTGTTTAGATGTACACCAGCCCATGTGTGGGGTACCCGAACCATTCAGAATAGTGGGTGGGCCATTCAGATGGGTGTCTGGATACCCAGCAGAATTGTAGGCACCTCCAAGTGTCACAACCTGGCCTCCTTCCTCTCAACTATCTGGCTTCCCAACTTTCAAGTGGGTCTTGAACTCACTTTCTCTGTGGACTCAGATCTACATGGCTACAGCCTATGTTAAGTTACTGTGACCCTGGAGTCCACTCAGACTATTAATCCTGCCTTCCCTAGTTATTTTCCCCTTATTTTTCTCGTTTCCTTGTTCTTTGGATAAGCAGGAACCTCTATGTATACTGGCAGCAAGATATCTGTTTTCCTGGGGTGCTTAATTCCACCGAAGGTATCAAAGCTATGAAACACAGTGGTCACTCTCACAGTCAGAGTGCTATGGTAAGTGTATATGGGGGCATCTCTTTCCCCCACCCCAGGCTCTCCCAAAAGTACTGATCCCCCACAGTGGTATGTGAAGAGCCTGGTGAGATGAGGGCTGGGTTAGAATATGTGATTTGAACCTCAGGGAAGAACACCGACTCTTCACTCAGGTAGCATGTATGGATCTGATCTCTGGGACTCTTATGTCCTCTGTGATCATGACAGGAGGTTATGAGGATCAGGGTGTCTTTAAGCCAACATGGAAGCCTGCAAAGGGCAATCACACACTACAGATTTATTCCTCCTGAGCAAGTCCCATGTCTACCTGCCTTCCTGGTTCTATCTGCCTCTGGGCCTAAGTGTTTTCCAGAATGGCTCTGTCAGAAGGAGTTACTAGAGATGAAACACAGCTCAAGGCCCATTCTTGAGAGATGTATGAGCCTCTTTTGCTTCTTTCAGTGACTATTGTAAACCCAACAGAATGACATCATTTTGTGACGCATTCAGGTTGTTTTACTCATGCACTGTATAGAGCTGTATGGCAGCAGCCAGGAGCCTGAAACAGAACTATTATGACAAAGGCTGTGGGGTCCAGAAGCCAACACATTTGCTCTATGGTTCCTGGCTGGTAGGAACCAAGGCTAATGTGACATATTCCACAGACATGTGCAGAAGATGCACAGATCCATAGAGGTGTTTAAGGTTTAGGCTGGGACTGAAATGCACAGAGAATTTCAGATCACAGAGCAAACAAGCCACAATCTGAAGACCAGCCACAGAACTGACATTGGCCAACTTGGCACACAGCTAGAAAGGACAGAGCCAGATTTCTCATTAGCAATCTTGTCTGAGATACAATTTCTCTTTCATGTTCTAGCATCTCTTTCTCTTCTCCCTCCCCAATAAAACTGCTGAGCCGGACTGAGAACCACAGGGCACAGGCTCTTTACAGGCTTCCAATCTGAACTCTTTTCCTTCTGCTTATATTTTTTCTGTGCTAGAATGTTCCCTTCCTGCCACCCATGGCATACTCCCTTCCTCCTGGGCCATTTCGCAGCCCCCCAGGGGTAACTTACATCCCACCTTACTGCCCCTGCCCTGGCTTGTTTCATGAGTTTTAGTCTCCTCTTTCTTGTTCTTTATCAGGCATATATTCAATGTCTGTTTTTCTTGGTCCAGAGTGTGCTCAGCTTACTTTTGAGCTCTCTGGTTGAGCCCCTGTAAAATTTATATACAGTGGGTGAAAACTGAGTTGGGCTGGATGAGATGTGTTATACTTACCTTGTTGAATTGAGGTCTGGGAGTGCTCAGCTATGTGCCTAACACACCTTGAGTCCCATTACCCGTGCAACACTACTCGAGAAATCTTAGGAGAATCCACCATCACTGCTGATGGCATAAAATGATCAAATAATACTGAGGCCTAAAAGACCTTGAGATAAAACCCTCATCATTCATAGAGCAGGTCACACTCTAGGACTGGCTACTCACAAATGGATCTGGCTGAACAGAGAAGCACATACAGGTAGGTGGACAATAAATGGCCTCAGCATTACAAACAATATTGCCATGCAATGATTCTACAGAAGGTAAAGTTATCTGCTGGGGGAAAATTGAGAAGAAATGGGAAAGCAAAGAAACCTCACTTCTCCCAGGAGGTGCTTTCCCTCCTTCTATAAGCAACAGCATACATTACCACAGAACAGAGGCTTTCTGTCAAAACTGGCATTGAGGCTCCAGGCTAGACCTAGAGTTGAAGCTGAACTGCTAAAATCAGGACTGAGGTGTCAACACAGGACTAGAACTCAGGTTTGACATAGGTAAAAGGATCACAACTCTGAGAATTAGAATTAAAAGTTTCACATTACAGCTAGAAGTAGAGCCAGGGATGCTGGCATATGTCTCTAAGTCCAATGCTCTGAAAGTGGATGCAGGAGGGTCACAGGAGTTGTAGGCCAGCTTGGGCACATAGTAACACAAAGGAACAAGAAGCAGGGCTCCATGCTGGAGCTAGAATTGCGGCTTCACAAACTGTTACCTGAGTTCTGAGTTTGATCATGTCAGCCTCCATTTGGGAATTGGATTCGTTAAGCTCCTTTATCTCTTCATCTAACTGCTTGATTTCTTCATCGTTTTCTATACCTGGAATGGCAAAGTCATCATTTTAGGGCTATAGTGCTTGGAAACATTGCAGCAGAAGTACATTGTTTTCTCTGTTTTTTTTTTTTTTTTTTTTTTTTTTTTGTTTTGTTTTGTTTTTTGTTTTTTGTTTTTCAATTTGGAATTGAATTTTCTTGGGAAATTATCATTGAATTCACAGTGTGTATGACTTTATTTCCCCACCCCAGCCTGCCTTATGACCAAGGCACTTAGAGAGAATGAAGACCTTCTAGAAAGAACCTTGGTCCTGATAGGTAAGATTCCAGTTGAATGCCCAAAGTCTCAAGATCTGGGGCCCTTTGACTCTGGGCAGAAGTTGCTTTGCTGACCCTTGATTTTCCTAGATGTACTCCTCATCCATCACCTTTTATACTCAGCATCCATCCTGCCACGCTCAGTTTTGATTCAGTAATCCTGGGCACACCAAGCTTCCATAATGAGCCCTAAAAGAATCTGACCCCAGACTTTTTTATAAGTTGGGAAGGGTGTGAACCTAACTGTCTTGGGCTGAGCAGTCCAGTCCAGCAAATGCCAATGTGCAAGAGCCTAGGTATCTCCTTTGGCCAGTTCTGCAAACCCAGGCACATGACTAACTGCCTGTGCTTACAAATAGGTATTTTCAACATCTGGTCTGCTTTGTTCTGCTGCTGACAACTTTTCATCATCAGCATCAATATTACAGGGATTCTCTTGTTCAGGACATTGTGGTTTTACATGATTGAGGATATACAAAGTACAGAAGAATTACAGATGTCATTATCCTCAAACATGACAGTCCTGGGCTTGTGGTATCAATGGTCACCTGCCCCACCTGCAGACCAATGGGCAAGTACGCAATAAGGCTAGGCCATGTAGAATCTGTTTTTAAGATTTGCAACAGAAGGGCCCAGAATGGAGGCCAGAGAACCCCCAAAGCACTGTGAAGCCTGGCTGAAGGGAAGTAGTGTTTGTTCAAGAGCTCTAGCAAAGAAGAGAAAGAGACAAGTATGTGGTGCTTGAGCCTTAGGGGTTACTTTTAGAGGGTAGAAAACAAAACAAAACAAAAATGTTTTTACCATAAGATAGAGGGTTAAAAACAACAAACAAGTAAACAAAACAAAACAAACAAACAAACAAAAAACAGGGCTGATGACAAAGGAATGAAAGTTTGAAGCTGAGAGCTGGCTGCCCATGCTGTCTGGATAGGGTTGTTCAGTGTGAGCTGTCCCTCCTCTAGGACATGCATGCTGTCCCTCGAGCTTCTTCCTTCTCTTCTCCTTTGAAATGATCCTTGTCCAATGGCTACTTCCTTTACTGATGAGTATCAGTGGGCACAGACTTACAGCAGCAACTCCTATGAGATGTTTGCCTTAGCACCAGGGCTAGTCTGTAAGATGCAGTGTCTTGCCAGTGCCTGCTGCCTGGCTGGCGTTCAGTACTTTTTTTTTTTTTTTTTTTTTTTTTTTTTTGCTGGCAAAGAACTTGATTTCTTAGTGAGCGAGAGAGTGGTGGACATTGCCTGCAGGTGTCTCAATGCTGATTGTTTGGGGTTCTAAGGATATAGAGCATGCAGATGGGCCCCAGACCTTCTGGAAAGCAGAAATTTTAGTTAACCTCTATTTCCCTGGCCTTAGTGTTGGGCAGAAGGGACACTGGCTCACAGCACCTCAAGTCCCTAAGGTTGCACCACATATGTGGCTATGTCTCTGGAGAATGATGGCCTACATGTTGGTATTTACACCTGTCACTGGCAGAGAAAAGGTTTCTGTAGGCAGACATACTGCACTTTCTTTAGACATCAAATAATAAGAAACAACAGACAGAATGGGCATGACTTGAGCCCATGTACCTGCACACTACAATTGGCCTTCATCTGGGGCTAGGGAAGACAGCCATTGACCAGACACATAACATAAGGTCTAGGGTCTGAACTGGGATGTTTACTGTGGAACCAGCTTGATGTGAGGATGTCTCAGCCCTGGCTATTGTATTTGTAGTGCATACAGAGCTCTGAGTTAGACTGTGTCATGTAAAAGGGGCCAGGGTGGATTTTGCAGGTAATTCAAGACAATTAGTTATTGAATGTGCTGAGAAAGAGGAGAGGACCAGAAGGAGGCTGCTACTGTTTAGTGTCCTTGGTGCTCTAATGCTGCTCCTGGGTTACAGGCTCAGGAATGGGGGCCCAAGGAAAAAAGGAAAGGTGTGACCAGGCTGTTGGTGAGAAAGCTGACCTGGTGCTGGAGACACTGGGTCATGGCACGTAGGCAGAATCTAATGATCACTGCTTCTGTGGTCTAAGAACAGTGGGCTAAGTCACTGATGCAGAGATGCCATGCAGTGACATCCCACCTCTCTAAACAGCAGGAATGCTGGGGACCCCAGGGTATGGTTACCATTGCTGGCTCGCTGCTTAATAGTCAACATCTGTTCTCCAGACAGCTTTGCTTTCTTCATTGCTGATGTGGCTCTTGGACATCCTGACAAGCTGTTGATAAGACAAGAGATGGCTGTTAGCCATGGGCTTCAGCAAAGCCCAAGCCGTGCAGTGACAGGTGTAGTAACTCAGTGTTTCTTTATCAGGTCAAGTGCCATCACAGGGATGCTGAAACATACAGATCAATGGTGCTGTGTTCCAGCACATAAATAAAAGGGTAATATGGTCTCTATGTACATGAGCACGTTCGTTCATGGGCTAATTGTGGGTGCATGGTTAGTATGGCCTCTGGAGTGGATCTTCAGAAAAGGCATATGAGGTGATGGGACACATCTCCTCCCAATGTAACTCACAGAGCTTTGGCAGCTTCTGTGGGGTAGGGATTATATTCCTACCTTTAAAACTTGCTTCTTATGAATAGCATCAAACTTACATAACAACCAGATTCATCCCAATCTCAAACACATAAAAATGAAGTAGTGTAAGAATGTTCCACCCAGCTTTGGTTACCACAACCCACAGCAAGCTCTCTTCACCTCGTCCACCCAGAAACTGCTTGGGATGAAAGCAGGTGTGAAGTTGACTACAATATTGTCACAAGGTTTCTGAAACCAGACTTGTTATTCAGCCAGCTGTGCAGCCTGGTTTTCAGGTGGCCCCTGCTGTCATGGCTTTAATGGCATTGTCACTGCCATTAGATTTGGATTGCCTAGGAGTCACACCTCTGGCTGTGGAATACCTTCAAAGGAAGGCATTTCCAAAGAGGTTAACTGGGGAGGGAAGAGCCATCCCAGATATTGGTAATATCATTCCATGTACCAGGATTCTAGACTAAATAGAAAGGATTTTAAAAGGAAACAAGATGAATGCATTCCCCTTTCTCTGCACCATAATGTACCCAGATGTGAGCAGGTTCTCACCTCCACAGCCTTGAGCAGCTGCTCCCACCATGCCTTCCCTGCCATAATGGATTGCCTCCCCTGGACCATGAGCCAAAGTAAATCATTCCTTCCATCAGTTGCTTTTGGCCACAGTAATAAATATGTGGCTCTTTGGTGCTTCTTAAATTACCATGCCAAGTCCAATTCCACTCTAGCTTTCCAGTGCACCTCTGATGAACATGTCTGATAGGACCTTTGCATAGGGGCTCTCCTGGCTGAGTGTCTACTGGAGCCAGCATGTCCTTTATACAGAGTTCTTTTCCATGGATGGAGTATGTGGGCTTTCTTAAGCCCATCAAAGAACAGGCTCTTCCTTTGGCAGTGCAATAGGGAAAGGAGGACCCCATCAGGCAGTCACAGACCAACATCTATTCATGATTCCTTCAGAGGCCCCATATCCTTCACCATGTATAGACTTCAGTGCAGTTCTGAAGTCTGACAGCAGAAGGGTGCTGAAGTTTCCCAGTGTCTTGATAAACTACCTTTGAGCAGCAGAGACTTGTGAGATTCCCCCTAAAGTAAAATCTTCCCAGGTTGGCATGGGTATGGTGGCATATTCCAATGATTTTAGCACTTGGGAAGTGAATGCAGAAAGATTAGGAATTCAAGAACAGTCTCAGTTACAAGAAGAGTTCAAGGCCAGCCAAGGTTAGATGAGACCTCCCCACAAGCAAAACAAAGCACACTTCTTCCTCTCTGGAAGTGAACTCAGACTAAGTTCACTGCTCCGAGTCCTCCCCCTAGAGAGCCTGTCTGCAGGTACTAGGAGACTTAAAGGCAGGAGACTGCTTTTGGCATGTTTTGCTCCCGAAAAGCCAGGCTCACACAACTGATACTGCTGCTGCTGATTCACACAGAACAGACACAGTCAGATTCCCTTGGCCCCTTTGTGTGCTTTGATAAATGCAACACACAGGGTGATATGTACAAGCAAGTGTATCACTTGCAAACATGAGAAGTGTTGGATGGTCTACTGTCATGGGACACTACAACTGCTTTTATAGTCAAATTTCTCTGTACAATTAGAAGGACCTCACTCTGAAATAACAGAACTCTCCTATATGCAGCCAACCTCCACAAAAGCTGCTTTCTCACTGTACTTCATCAGCATCTTTTCTGTACATAATCATAAATGCTAGGTTCAGATATGACCAGTTTTGCTTGGGGTGGAACATTGTTTACAGCTTTGCTTACAACATACATGTAATGCCTGGGGTATGACCCTGTGATAGGTATGGCATCCCAAGGACAAGAGGCCTCAGTGTGATCTGTAGCATCTCTGTCAGCTGTTGGCTAGGATGCATCAAGGGCATGTGTTGCATAGATCTGTGTTGGCTCATTTATGAAAGGAGAATAAGGTCAGATTAGAATTGGGCATCGTGCTTAATGACTGCAGTAACTTCTGTGCATTGCCTGTGCTAGTCAGTTTCTGAAACAAAAGCTTCAAAGAGGGGTGTACCTAACCATCCCCAGTTCTGGGGCAAGTTGGGCATGAGTAGCTAGTAAAGCTTCCTGCAAATATACCCAGGACTGGGGTTATGGAAAAGGACAGCACCTTGCTCCAGCCTCAGGCCTGGCCCAGCCCCACAGAGTATGAATCTTCAAAATTACAGAAGTTATTGTCTCCTCCCAGGCAAGCCTTTGGCCATTCTTGCAAATTTTAAGAGGCTGGGAAGTTGGACAAAGAGCTTCAGAGTGTGGTGTGCTGAGTTCCAGAGGCCTGCCTCATTTCTTTACTGGATAACCAGGCTGCTGCCTCCGGGAGCAACCTAAGACTCCAGTCATTTTTTCACTGTTACCATTCCTGGGGTCCATGTATGTCCCTCAATGGAACTGCAGGACTGAATTCAACACACCACCCACATTCTGCGAAACGGTCTTGGAATCTCTGCTCATTTCTTCAGATCCTCAAGACCAGTGTTTCCTAAGTGTCCACATTGTCAGTTTGAGGGTCGACACACTGGTGACTCCTCTCTGCACTTCTACATAAACCCATGCTGCTGTCTGCTCTTATTTTCCTGCCTCAACATTGTGTATTGACCACCCAACTTTTAAAATCTAATTATTTATTAAGTAGGACCATGTTCTTCAGGAAGCCTCTGGCACAGTCTCCACCCAGGTCAAGTTGCCTCTCCCAATTCAGGAGCACCTGAAGCCTTCAGGGATCATATTCTCAGACATCATACATGTGCACCCCAGGCTGTTCTTAGACCAAGGGCACTTTACACCACGAATTTCAGGAGTACGTTTGCAGACTTAGGTAAAATTGCACGTAGTCAATGATGGGGAACAAAATGACACCAGATGACATTTCCCTCTCAAAATTCAGCTTTCATGGGGCATGATCGGGGTTCCACTTATTAGAATGTCTCTAGTTTTTTCTGTTTTATCTACAATGAGGATTACAAAACCCTTTTCCAGTGAGTCCCCAGAGCTGACCTGTATTGCTTTAGCTTGATAACAATAGACATTAAGTGCTTCCTAGTAGCTCTGCTCTATCAGCAGCTAGCTCAAGGTCTCCTGAAGTAGAGCTTCAGACTTAATTCAAGGCAACATTCCTTTCTTTGCCCTCTTCAGGAGAAAATCACATGGTTTCTGGGCTATTCTGCTTCAGTCTAGCTCTCAGGTATTTACTGCCCAGAATCTTCAAGTCTTCCCTTTTACATTGGTAAGAGTAAATAAAGGACAAACAAAATGACATCTCACATTGAACTAACTAACTGATCACAAAACCTAGAAATAGCAATCTTACATTGTTTCTCTGTCTCCAGTGAATGTATCTACCTGATGGGAATGGTAAATAAGTGTTTCATAAGGAGGATGAGGCCTGGGTGGGAGTTTTGGAAACTGAATCAGGAAACAAAGGCAGACCCAAAGAATGCTGCATCCTGCTCAAATATCACTTTCAGTTCCTGCCATTCCAATCCCTGAGTATATTTCCCCATGGTCAAATTTGGAAGTGAGCTTCTTAGCTCAGACTTACAGGTAGTGTCTGATTCCTTGCAGACATACTGCCACCTGCCGGTCACTCTGCATGGCAGTGGGTCAGGCTGATCCTAGAATAATGGAGGGTACTCTATATACCCACTTTCCCCCAAGAAGACATAGGCAGCCTCCCTATGTCACAGAAAGCTAGTTCCACGTGAAGGAGTTCAGTTTGTTGTGGAAACTCTTCTTAATAAAGACTAGTGGATTCTGAGGTTAGATTTGCAGTTTCGATGTTGAGAAATTCTGGGAACTCATAGTTAATGCTCATTTCCCCTATTTTCCTGTCTGGAGTCCCAGATATTTGACAACAAGAATTATTTTAGGACCCAGCAGCTTTAATGGCTGCGCAAGAAGGAGAAAAGGATCCAGAATTTATCAGGACATTAGTTTCCTGGAGAACCTTCACCTGCACCTAGGTAGGTAACTTCCAAGGGGGCATATATTCAAAGTGGGAAGGACATGATCATGAGAAACAAAAACGTGACCTGGAGGAAAGATTAGTCTGTGTGACTCAGACACAGGCTGGCTGACCATGTGAACTCTGTTCACTTTGCAGACAGGAGGTAACAACAGATGGGAGATTGTTAGGAATCATGTGTCCTGAGGAGCCCAAAGAAAGGTGCGTTGGAATGTGGCTCTTAGTCACAGCCCCAGGCACTTTGATCACTGTAGTGACTTCTGATTCCTCACTGAGTTGCCTTTCACATTCTTGAAATGTAGTTGTGCTTTCCACGGCATACAATATGCATCGTGCATGGCGTGCACTCATGGTCATGGTGCTTCTCCACGCCACAGCTCCATTCCTATCCATGACAAGCTAAGGGAAGCACAGTGAGGAAGGGGCGAGAAGATGGTGAGCACCACAGAGGTCCCACCTCTCTCTGTCTCTATTGGAGGAGAGCCCTGTGATCCCTCTTAATCCACAATTTGAAATATTTTAGGTTTCACTTCTGTGCCAAACAGGAATCTCCAGGGCTATTGGGGGAGAGAAATCTCAGGTACTTTTGTGCCAGGCAGGCAACTGGGATACATGGGGTGCCTGGATGCCAGTATGTGACACCAACCAAGCTCAGAGACCAAGAGGGCCTAGTTGGTGTCATTTGTTTCCCCTGGTTCTTGCAC